GGGGTGGGGGTGGGACTCACTTTTATATCTGAGCCAAAGCAAGAAAAGACAGGTCTTGTGACCTGAGCAGTTAGGGGGATGTGGAGCTGGGCTGGCTCCTTGGGTCAGAGGCTTCCCAGCAGAAGCACTGTCCGTGTGTGCAGGTCCCGGGGAGCAGGGTGGAGTGAAGCTTCTCGGTGTGAGGGCCAGGATGGAGCTCCCGAAGAGGAGGAGGTCAGTGACTAGCCAGTGACCTTCTGTCTGTCTGTCTGTCTGTCCGTTACAGAAAGGAAGGCAGAGGAAGCCACGGCCACTCGACCCCGGCGAGGGCTCCAAGGACACAGACAGCTCTGCGGGGCGGAGGGGCAGCGCAGGCCGCAGGCATGCGCGCTGGCGGGGCCGTGCCGAGAACCCGGGCGTACCAGTGGCCAAGGTGGTGCGGGCAGTAACCAGCCGGCACAGGGCCAGCCGGCGGGTGCCCCCCGCCCCGCCCCCAGAGGCCCCGGGCCGCCAAAACCTGAGCGGGGCGGCAGCCGGGGAGGCGCTGGTGGGCGCGGCTGGCTTCCCACCGCACGGGGACACAGGGAGTGTGGAGGGCGCACCCCAGCCCACAGATAACAGCTTCACCCCCAAGTGTGAGATTGTGGGCAAGGACGCGCTGTCTGCCCTGGCCCGGGCCAGCACCAAGCAGTGCCAGCAGGAGATCGCCAACGTAGTATGCCTGCACCAGGCCGGGAGCCTCATGCCCAAGGCTGTGCCCCGACACTGCCCGCTGGCCGGTGAGGGATGGGGCGCCCTGGGCCTTGGGTGGGGGTACATGGTGGGGGTTCCCGTCTCTGTTCTCACCAGAGGATGCCAGGCTCTCCCTGCAAAGGGAAGCAGGCACTCCCTCGTCTACTGAGCACCCCGTGACCGGCTCTCCCCCCAGGGAAGCTGAGCCCTGGCATCCAGTGGGACGAGGTCCGGGCCCAGCAGCCTGTGGAAGGCCCCCCGGTCCGCATTGCCTATGTGCTGGTGGTCCACGGGCGTGCTGTCCGCCAGCTGAAACGGCTCCTCAAGGCTGTGTACCACGAGCAGCACTTCTTTTACATCCACGTGGACAAGGTACCGCACCAGGGGAAGCTGGGCACCGGTCTGGGGGCCCAGAGTGGGGAAGCGGCCGGCACCAGGTCTCCAGCTGGGTGTGAGCTGGGGCCCAGGCCCCGCTGCTGAGCGGCCCCTCCCCTCCAGCGCTCCAACTACCTGCACCGGGAGGTGGTGGAGCTGGCACAGCAGTATGGCAACGTGCGGGTGACGCCCTGGCGCATGGTCACCATCTGGGGCGGGGCCAGCCTGCTGAGGATGTACCTGCGGAGCATGCGGGACCTGCTGGAGGGGCCTGGCTGGGCCTGGGACTTCTTCATCAACCTCAGCGCCACCGACTACCCGACCAGGTCAGGGCCCTGATGGACTCCTGGGGTTCGCCCGGCCTCGGCTGGCCTCACGGCCCTTGCCTCGTTGTAAGGGAAGGCCGGTCCGTGTTGCTGGGTGCCACCACGTCAGTTCCCACTCCTCTCCACCCCTCCGACAGAGTAGGACAGCCCACAGGGTGTCCTAGGCGGCGACCCTCCCAGGAACATCCCTCCCTCAGTCCACCTTCCAGTCATCGAGCACAGCAAGGGGAGGAGGACAAATGGGGTGATCTTCCTTGGGGCCTCAGGTGCCCAACTGCCCCTGCCCCCTAGAGCATCCGCTGGATGTGGGGCGTGTGGCCAGGAAGGGGTGGGGGGTGTCGGGCAAAGGGAAAGAGACCAATGAAGGGCATCTGTTGTGGACGAGGCCGGGCCCTTCCTGCTCACACTGCCCCACCGGTCCCTCTGCAGGACCAATGAGGAACTGGTGGCCTTCCTGTCCAAGAACAGGGATAAGAATTTCCTCAAGTCGCATGGTCGGGACAACTCTAGGTGAGGGAAGGTGGGGGCGGGAGAGGCCTTGGGCATGGGGTTCTGTCCGACCCTGCCTGCCTGGGGCTGTAGACCTCCAAACTGATGTGGGGTACAGGAGAGGGGGTTCCCGGCAGGTGAGAAAGCTCGGGCCTCCCGTGGCGGGACGTCATCCGGGCCTGTGTGCCACGCGCAGGTTCATCAAGAAGCAGGGCCTGGACCGGCTCTTCCACGAGTGTGACTCCCACATGTGGCGCCTGGGTGAGCGGCAGATCCCAGAGGGCATTGTGGTGGACGGTGGCTCCGACTGGTTCGTGTTGACGCGCAGCTTCGTGGAGTACGTGGTGTACACGGACGATCCGCTGGTGGCCCAGCTCCGCCAGTTCTACACGTACACCCTGCTCCCCGCTGAGGTGGGGGAGCCCCGCCGGCCCCCAGGCCAGGAACAGGGGAAGGGGAGTGTGCTGAGGTGCCCTGCTTACCTTTACCCTCCCTGCCAGTCCTTCTTCCACACGGTGCTGGAGAACAGCCCGGCCTGCGAGAGCCTCGTGGACAACAACCTGCGCGTCACCAACTGGAACCGCAAGCTGGGCTGTAAGTGCCAGTACAAGCACATCGTGGACTGGTGCGGCTGCTCGCCCAACGACTTCAAGCC